TGCAGACTTTGTAAATAGTTGGACAGTGTTGAGGGAATTATTTGTTTAGCAGAGTGATGGCTTTTGGGGAAAAACTCTCCTTGTGTCTAGTTCTGGTGTGCTGGGCTCTATAGCGTCGTTTTGAGGGAAGGAGTTGAAACAGTTTATGTCTGGGATGTGAGGGGTCTGTAAATATTTTCACAGCCCTCTTTTTGACTCATACAGTATACAGGTCCTCAATGGAAGGGAGGTTGGTAGTAATTGGGTTTTTTTTTTGTTTTTGTTTTTTGCAGTCCTAATAACCCTCTGAAGTCTGTGTCTGTCTTGTTGGGTTGCAGACCCAAACCAGACAGTTATAGAGGTGCAGATGATAGACTTGTTAAGTGGATTCCGCTTATTTCCTAGATCTAGCCTATACAAAGTGGGGATCCTATGCTGGAGACAAACCTCTCTAGCTAAGGAGACGCTCTTCCGGATGTTCCCAGATTGCATCCAGGAAACTTCATCAAGTTTAGGAGGGGGCTTGAAGGGAAGCCCTTTTAGGTAGCTTCCATAGTCAGTGGTGCTTAAATATTTATGAAACCTTTGGAATGTCCATTTTTATATAAATATGACCTATAACTTGGCTGTACTTCACGCAAGACTTAAAACCAAGAGAAGGTAGTTCAACAAATCAGTCACAAACATTATACTTCCTCATTTTATTTACTCACAACTTGATATCTCTGATTCCTCATTATTTATTTATGTACGGGAAATAAGCTATAGTTTGAAGTATTTAAGGAGCATGGAAATCTTGCATATTGAAACACTAGGATTAAAAAATGGGCAAGGGAAAATTATTTGACCAGACAGAACTCTGGAATCTTTAGTGAATGACGTCTCTCCCAGAATGACTACTACATGCTTTGTTTGTTTCTTTAAAGCATTTATATTTTGTCTTGCTAAGCATGTAAAAAAGCTTAAAACTCTAATTAAATATATGAAGAGCAATTATTTCCCCCAAACATGGGACAGAAGCATAATCCACAGCTTTTAAAATAGCAAGTAGCACCAAAGCATGTAATTGCAATAAATACCCCAATACTTGTCTGAATAAATGCAATGGAAATTTTGGATCCAATTGTGATAGTAAGTCGAGGATTACCTGTATACCTGCTTGTATCTTTTTGTTCCAACACCTGAGAAAATGTTGAAGTCTCTCGGGAGGATGGGATTTGGGAACATTTTGGTGTGGGTAGTAGTGGCTTCAGGTCTTTAATAATGAAAAACTCCTTATCCGCTACTCTGTGTTGGCTCATTTATTTAAAACTAATGTTAAAACTATTAAAACAATGATTCAGAGATAAGAAGCTTGCACGAGCATTTCCCTGAAGTATTTACACATAAGACTGTTGCTTTCTAATGGGAAGACAAAACCAATTTCTCCTTAAAAACCAGCAAAAGCAAAGCAGTCATGTTAACAATAAGAATAAATTCAAATGGATGTTGAGATGCTATTTTGATACAGTTGAATCCGATTAACACAATAATGTGTTTTTGAAGTTGTAAAAATTAGAATTTGTCTAAGTGCTTTAACAGAACCTGTCTTAAACAAAGGGTAGACTGGATGATTTCTGAGATTCCATGATACCACAATTTACCTTCATGCAATAATATGTATCCGTGGTGGGACTCTACCAGTTTCCTTACCACTTTGCGCGTGCATGCATCTAACGCGCGTGCAGCTTTCCAAACACCAGCTGAGGCTCTGCCACGCCAATCAGCTGAGAGGATAAAGAACAGAAAAGCACAGGGGCTGGTGGGAGAGCCGATCCTGCGCCTTTCTCTTCTTTCTCCTCTCAGCTGATCGTCGGAGGTTTTTTTTTTTTTTTTAACTACCGGTTCAGTGAAACCGGGGCGAACCGGTAGCATTTCACCACTGGTATGTATGTATGTACCGGTATGTATATAAAAATATGGCAACCCATTTTAAGCAACTCTGGATGGCTTACAACAAATATTTGAACTTCTCCTCTTTTCAGTATAGCCGTATACTTTCTATATTAGAAAAGACATGTTATTCAGTTTCATTTTGTTCCAAATAAGTGAAAAACTACAAGCAAAAGTACAACTGCCCAACATTAATCTAGGATTTTGTGCATCCTCTCATCCTCCTTGCAACCTTTGCTTGACAATACTGAATAGGACTAAGAATTAGAGGATAGACTGCAACTTTTTAAAGCCCAGTTCCTGCCTGAGTCAAACAAATGGTTGAAAGCAGAGGTTGATTAAGAGAATGAATCCTGGATACATTCTAGAGTTCTTTCTTTATCTCGTAATACGTTTGTTTTCTGTAGACTTAAGGTAGGGAAATAGCTTTCTCTTTTTCTATACAAAGTGCTGAATTCCACAACAGACTGGGGAGTCTAGAGAGAAAATATTGCACAAAATGTGGAGGCTTAACCATAGCCTAGTAGCAGGTTTTACAAAAACTCAAAGAAAAGAGTTTATGAAGTTGTAGGCATCTAAGGTCTAAAAGAAAGGGAAAGAAAGCGAGGATTACCTTTAAAAATGATCCTTTGGAGTACATAAAATGGCTCTGATTGTTTTTAAGTTGTTCTTCTTTAATATCCTCAGGATCAGTGATGATATTCAAAAAATTTTTACTACCGGTTCTGTGGGTGTGGCTTTCTGGGTGTGGCAGAGCTTGGTGGGCGTGGCAGGGGGAAGGATATACTGCAAAATCTTCATTTCCACCCCACTTCAGGGGAAGGAAACTGTAAAATCCCCATTCCCTCCCCACCCCACTAACCTGCTTTCCAGTTCTGTTCTCCTGTGCAGGGCAACAAAGGAAGACCCAGCCAATCAGCTGGGACTCGGGAGGCAGCGAATAGATGGGGACGGGGCCAACCAGAGATGGTATTTACCGGTTCTCTGAACTACTCAAAATTTCCGCTACCGGTTCTCCAGAACCTGTCAGAACTGGCTGAATACCACCTCTGCTCAGGATCATAAGAATATAAGTAAACAAGGGCATTCTATGTGAACACCAAAACCAAAGGAACAAGAGAATTTTTTTGGGGGGGAGGAGAGGGGTATAATTTAAATCCCAAGATTCCCTTGCTTCAGACCCACACTAATCCCCTCCTCCCATTGACTGTGTTGTGTAAATAGGACTGAGAGAGGGCTGACCTTCTTCAAGATCAGAAAAAAGTTCAAGGTAACCCCACAAAAATGAGCCTCTCTAGGAACTCCATTTGGCTTCCCATGGTCCAGGAGAGATATAGGAATTGGATGGAGTAGGAAGGGGTGAAGTTAAATCTTGCCAGTTCAGTCTGCAGTGGCTCTGATTTCAAATAAGCCACCATAGAATTTGGAAAAGTATCATTAGAAAGAAAGAAAAAACTCTCATCTGAATTAGGGATTCATATAGGCAGAGATTCCATACATATATATTTACAGATGGCTTCTCAAAGAAACAGTTAATAATCAGTTCTTCTCCTATGTTTTGGTCATTCTGTTGAGAAACAGAGATTAAGTTATTATTAGCATCAGGCTATCTTTCAATGCACCTGGCATTTGGGTGGAAAAGGTGACACAGGTAGTTAGCCTGTTATACAAGTCTGGTTGGGGTGAAGCCCCACATGTGTAAAGCCAGAGTTGTCGTCGTCTTCTTTTTTCCCCTTACTACATTTAGGGAAAGTCATCTAAAGATAAACACATTTAGCATAATGAGGAAAAAAGTGCCAATAAATCATTCCCCCCCCCCCATTTTCTTCAATCAGAGGGTCACAAAATAGAGGTTTGGAGGCTATGAGCCACCACCATTCTTAGGTTGCTCGTCCATGCCTTCATCTATTTTTGTAAAATTCCAATCAGAATCAAAGATTTCTTTTTCATATTATCAAATGGCACTTTCTTTGCTCAGAACATTTTCAACGCAAATTGAAAAGTATCTCCCAACGTGATACTGGAATCGTCCCCAAAGGGGAACTGGGCATAATAATATATCCAAATTATCTTTTGCTTTAAGTATCTCAAGAATGAGAATGGGTGTGAAACGTTTTGAGTACTTCGAAAAAGAACATTATATACAACTATAAGCATCATGAATTTTTAAAAGTGTAATTATTAGTAAGGGCTATTTTCTTGCTAAACCGTCAAAAAACAAATTTAATGAAACTGAAATCCCAGATTGCATTAACCAGAAGTTAATTTCTGGTGTGATACAAGATAGAGATTCAGTGGTGACTCTCTGTGGTCAAAATGAACACTACAGCTGAATATGACATTTCAAACCCATTTTTTAAATACCAGTTTGGTCCTCTTTTCTTTTTACTCAGCAGCTGCCTTAAGTGACATTTTAATGGAAATAATCTTTTGGAAAGAAAATACAGAAATGTATGCCATTGTTTGTGGACAATTTGTGCACATAGAAAATCAAAGCTTGTATGTTTTATTCATATCTTGGCAGCTGTTAACCATGATTTATGACAGGCTATTTCAGGGGTGTCAAACTCAAGGCCCGGGGCCAGATCCGGCCCACGGGGTGCTTAGGGGCTGGGACCATCAAGGAGTGGATTGCTGCCTTCAGGGATTGTGGGGGCTGGCAGCAGTGATGAGGAGCTTCCCGAGGAGCCTGTGCCAAGTGCGTGTGAGTGCAGGATGATTTGTAGAAGAGAACAGCTGGAGCAGCACAGGCAACTCGGGAGTAAGGACGCAACGTAACGGCCCCTTCCTCCAGGGAATATAAGCCTGGTTTCAAAAGGTTTTTGCCTCTGCAGCAGGCAAAAACGCTCTAAGAACCCAGCATTGTGTGTAGAGACTCCGGCTTATCTGAAGAATTCTGTTAAGGCTTTTCTGGTTGGACTAATTGGCTGCAAGCCATCTTTTATCTACAAAGAAGTTTATTTGTAGATTAAAGCTGTGAAGGTTTGAGTTGCTGCATTTGTTTGAGATTTTCTTGCTGGTAACAGGGTTGGGTCAGAACAATTTACAACTTCTTATACTACTTCCTCTCTCCCTTTTTTAAAATCAAGATATAGACGAATGTTCATTTGAAAGGACCTGTGACCATACCTGCATCAACTATCCTGGAAGTTTTGAATGCTTATGTCACAACGGTTATACGTTATATGGAATGACACATTGTGGAGGTTGGAAGTTTGACTCTCTTTTATTCTTTTTTGCATGAAATTCTTTGATAAAGCAATGTTGTCAAAATTGCATTAACCAGAGGGCAGATTTTGAAATAGGCAAAGCACCTTTAAAAAATGAAAAGACAAAAGAAAATCTAATTGCAAAAATGAGGGAATGTTATTCGCATTTGTAGATTTCTTAGCATTCGTTATTCTGCATTTTAATGTTTGATCAATTGTTCATAAAAAGAACATTTTCATGTAAATGGCTGTTAAAGTGGTCATGGCTGTGATTCAGATACAGAGGTAAAAAGATGCTGTGAAGAGCAGAGTAACTCCTTAAGCAGCTCTGATTGTGTGACTGCCACAATCCCAGGAAAAGATGTTTTTGGTTATAGTGGGTAGAGTTCAGGGGTGGGATCCGACCAGTGTAACTACCAGTTGGGTGATTTATGTTTTGCTTTGGGTTGTTTTTGTTTTTTTTAGAAACAGTGAACATTGCTATAAAATATTGCATTTAATATTATTAAATATTAAAATGAAATGTAGTACTTCTTAACTATTGTTCATGCAAATAAAAACAAACCCTTACAAGGCAATGCTATTTAATTTAAATATATCTTTAGATGTAGATGAATGTAGCATCAACAATGGAAGCTGTGATTATGGATGTCTTAATACTGTGGGAACTTATGAATGTTTATGTCCATCTGGAAAAAAATTACACTGGAATAAAAAAGATTGTGTTGGTAAGTAACACTTTGTAGTAGACATTTTCCATTCTTTCACCTTTTGTATTAATGGAAGGTTATAAACTGAAGGTCTGAGTAAATAAATTTTATTTTTCAAGCCTAATAGTGTACCAATTCAATATGTATTGTATATTGTAAAACTGAGTTCCTTCTCTTTCCTTTGTTGCACAAATTCTTCCTTCCCTTTCATTTCATTCTTAATCACATTTCCTTGAGCATTTTGTCCAAAGGAGGAAAGAAGTAACTGCTTTCAGTTTTATTTCTTATTTATTTATTTTTATAGAGTAGCAGTTTCCAAGTGGTGCGATCCATTAGCCAAAAAAAAGCATAATAGCAATATACTAATAATACAAAAATAATAATCTTTAAAATCATATTAGAAATGACAAATGAAAAAATGTAAGTGCTTTGATGATAGTTCATAAATAAATCAAATCTGAACAACTCTGATTTTAAGGGTTTTCTAAAGGTCTAGAGGGAACACCCAAATTTCCTTGATGAAAAGCAGGACTTTGTCGCTTTGCCCTGGATCTCATGTTGGTGAAGCCCGTTAACTACCTCTACCCTATCTGGATTGGTAGGATTTACTTGAAATATATAGCCATGTCAGTATTTAGATGTCAAACTACATAGGCCAGCACTGTGAATTGTACCTTAGAGGCCTACTGGTAAACATCACAATTGTTCTGACCAAGGCTGCCTGAGACACCAACAAACACATATAAAATCCAAAACTCTTTTGTTTTAGTTCAGTGGCTGTGAATTATCATCATTCTCAGCCTGGAATGAGTCTTAACCTTAATAATTAGTCCTAGGAATGTCTGCCAAAGTTCTTTGTAAGACGTCTGATAAGAACGCAACTTATCTTACTTGAAGTACTGCCAACGACTAAAGTACCAATTAGTCTTTCCAAAACCACGGAGCTTTCAGAGTCCAAACCGATCAGAGCGAACGACTTTGCTTCCTGCAAAGGTTTTCCTACCTTTGCACTTTCTTTATATCTTATGGGAGGGCCAATCATCTCCAAGCCTTACTCCCGAGTCGCCCCTTTTGTCTTAGCTGCTCTTGCCTTCTGGCAGCTCTGTGCACACGCACACTGGGAACAGGCTCCCCTAGTTCCTCTGCCTCACTGCTGCCATATTCTGGAGACTCCAGAGTCAACACGTAACTCCCAGATGGTCCTGTCCTCATCTCTGCATCGGACGCAGGACCCTCGTCCGAGTCCTTGCCAGACTCCCGGATTGGTCCCTATTCTTCCCCACTGTCCGATTCTACTGCCATCAGCACAAGCTGCCAGCAAACCACAACACTAGTATCCTCAGCACTGATATGTGAATAATGACTCTTATCCTGCAATGAGCATTTGAGACCAACAGCTGTTTTTAGAGGCTGCATTAACAGAGGGATAGAATCAAGATCACGTGAAGTGTTAACACCACTTTATAATGCCTTGGTAAGGCTACACTGGAATACTGCATCCAGTTTTGGTTGCCACAGTGTAAAAAAGATGTTAAGACTCTTGAAAGAGTACAGAGAAGAGCAACAAAGATGATGATTAGGGGACTGGAGGCTAAAACATATAAAGAACAGTTGCTGGAATTGGGTATGTCTAGTTTAATGAAAAGAAGGACTTAGGGGTGGCATGATAGCAGTGTTCCAAAATCTCAGGGGCTGCCACAAAGAAGAGAGAGTCAATCTATTCTCCAAAGCACCAGAAGGGCAGGACAAGAAGCAATGGGTGGAAACTAACCAAGGAAATAAGCAACCTAGAACTAAGAAGAAATTTCCTGACAGTTAGAACAATTAATCAGTGGAACAATTTGCTTCCAGAAGTTGTAAATGCTCCAACACTGGAAGTTTTTAAGAAGAGATTGGACGACCATTTGTCTGAAATAGTATAGGGTTTCCTGCCTGAGCAGGGCGTTGGACTAGAAGACCTCCAAGGTCCCTTCCAAGTCCATTATTCTACTCTGCTCTGCTCTGCTCTGCTCTGCTCTGCTCTGCTCTGCTCTGCTCTACTCTACCCTAACCTACTCTACTCTACTCTACTCTACTCTACTCTACTCTACTCTACTCTACTCTACTCTATATAGCAAATTGAAGGAATCTAACCCATAGGTGAAAAGGATGAGGGATACTGGGGTATGCTTCTTCAGGAAAAGCTGCAACTAGTAGCAGTGTCAAAGTGCACTTATCTTTCATTCTGGATATATCTTAGAAACTTATTTAAAGGGAATCCCATGAGCTAGAGCCAGGGGCGTCATATTGGCAGCCCGTGGCCCGGATGCATCACGCACAAGCCACACCCATCCCAACTCCACGAAGGCAAAAACATCATCATACATCATATGACATCAATGTGACAGGGAGAAATTTGACATCCTTGGATTTATTTATTTATTTAGCATTTTGGCTTATGCTCGCGGGACCTATTCAGTTTGTTTCAGCCTGGCTCACTTGCTTGCTCTGCTCAACCCACTTGGAAGCAAGAGGAACCTGATTGCAAGATCTATCCTCCAGTCATCTGAATGAGTCACTTCCTTCCTGCTTTTTTCTTCCTCAGAGATGGTGAAATGTTTGCCCGGTGCCAATCCAGTTCCCAAAGCTCAGTTGCTCTGTAGCAAATCAGGAGGAATTGAGAACTGTTTCTTATTCTGTCCATCCAACACCCTTTTCGTTCCAGGTTGGTATCTAAAAAACATTTTTTTCCCCTGGTCCATAAAATAAATTACACAGAGATGTCTATAAGGTCTATTGAAAAAGGTCAAGATGGTGTCACAACGATGCAATAGAAGTTCCACCCATTTTTACGTGCAACATACGTACTAGCTGCATTCTTGACTTTTGACCACCCAGTGGCATTAAAAGTGAGTTAAAATGCATTTCAGCAAGTACTGTTCAAACAAATTGTTTGTAAATATAACAGGAGCAAGACTAATGGGAAGAATATTCAGTAAAGCTATGTGTAAGCTATTACTAATAATTAGGTTATTGTACAAAAGAGTTGAGCATTGTGGTTACCCTTTGAGGCCTTTCACTGACCATTCAATCATGGTCCCTGTCAAATGGCCTTACTAGGTTGAATTAAAAGGGACACCTTTTGGCCATTTAAAAGCATATCCTTACCTTCAAACGTTGGCCAGGGGACATTCCAGTTTTTTCAAACAAGATTTTTCTCCTCTACACAGAGTACTCTGGCTCACCTATACAGGCGGTAGGGAAAATTTTTGGTACCTCCCCAAACTCTTCTCTGGTCTGGCATTGTCATATGGCAATAGCTGGTTGGCCTTGTAGGCAGCTGATATGCACTGAACAATGAACTTATTTTTCTCTGTTCCGGAAATCATAGTGAAAAGCACCCCAACTAGCATCTGGTAGCAACCCATACTGGAGCTGTCTTTGAATGCACTTGTAAAATGCTTGTGTAGTCCAATTCTGGGACAGAAGTTTCTTCACAGGCTGATGAACATTTGGTGGGATACAGTGGTGGGATTCAAAATTTTGTACTACCAGTTCTGTGGGGAAGGATACTGTAAAATCGCCATTCCCTCTCCACTCCAGGGGAAAGTTACTGCAAAATCCCTATTCCTTCCCCATCCCACTAACCTGCTTTCCAGCTCCGTTCTCCTGTGCAGGGCAACACAAGAAAACCCAGCCAATCATCTGGGACTTGGGAGGCAGAGAATAGTTGGGGGTGGGGCCAGTCAGAGGTGTTATTCCGAATTACTCAAAATTTCCGCTACCAGTTCTCCAGAACTGGTCTGATTCTGCTGAATACCACCTCTGGTAGGACAGGAAGGAAATACAATCCTCATAGCTTGGTGAAGAAGAACAGCATCATTTGCACGGCAGGGGAGTGTGTGTGTGTGTATGTGTGTATAAGAGAAAGGGGGGAGGGAGGGAGAGGGAGAGAGAACAGCAAATTTTTCTGCTGCCCCGGAACCTGTAGAACAAGGGTGTCAAGCTTGTATCACCACAGCAGCATCACATGACGTATCATGAGTTTTTTCGCCGTTGCTAAACCGGGCGTGGGCGTGGCCAGCGCGTGATGCATCTGGCCCGCAGGCCGTGAGTTTGACACCCCTGCTGTAGAAAGAATCCTTATGTGACTGTTGACCTAAGCTTTTCTCTGGCTTCATCCTATTCCACAGCTAGCAGCTATGAGGGAAAAATTATTTACAGATATAAATGACTCCTTTCTTTATTATTATTTTGATCAACTAAACATGTGTCAAACTGATTGGGCAACATCTGGATGTCAAGACAGCCTTGTACCCAGCTATTTTAATTAACTTGAATAGATTTTAACAATATTTCTATAAATCAATGGAAGGAAAGGAATGTACTGATATATATATATTTCTCTTTTTATTTTGTTCAGACTCAGAAAATAGCTATTCAGTAAGCTGTGGCATGCCAGTACAACAGGGCAAGTCACAACAAAAACGCAACAGTACACTTCCAGGTTGTATGGGTAAGAATACTCTTTGCAATTTGTTGACGTAGTTAGTTTAACACCTGCATCCTAACAATTTTGGTGAGTGACCCTATTCTGTCTTCTGGGTATAGGATTTTAAAGGGAAGTTTCTTTAAGGAAATACAAAGTAATATTCTGTGTATTTCAAATCTGAAGAGGAAGAGAAATGCTCTAGAGCAGGGGTCCCCAACCACCGGTCCACGGACCGGTACCGGGCCGCGGAACAACTCCTACCGGGCCGCGGCTTGCTGGGCGCCGCCATCTTTTTTTCATGAAAAAGTGCTTCCGGTGAGCTTTTCCGGGTAGAAAGCTCACCGGAAGCACGTTTTCATCAAAAAAAGATGGCGGCGCCAGCGCTTCCGGTGAGCTTTTCCGGGTAGAAAGCTCACCGGAAGCACTTTTTCATCAAAAAAAGATGGCGGCGCCCAGCTGATGCCGGTACCGGGCCACGGCGCCCAGCTGATGCCGGTACCGGGCCGCGGCGTCAAAAAGGTTGGGGATCACTGCTCTAGAGCAGGGGTCTCCAACCTTGGCAACTTTAAGCCTGGAGGACTTCAACTCCCAGAATTCCCCAGCCAGCTTTTTTTAAAAGAGTTAGTGATTATATATTCGCAATAAGATGTATTTGTAAATATATCACCAATATTGATAACAAACAAGGAACCATAGACTGTCGATAGTAGAATTGTTAGTTTTTAATCATTTTCTTTTTTCCTATTTCTTTTTCTTCTTCTTTTGTGTGTTGTGTATGTGTTTGTTTGATATTTTAGTTTTATAATCAATAAGGTTTGTTGTAAAAAATAAAAATAAAGAGGGCCTGTTGAGAACTCCTCCCCGCTGAAGTTTATGTGAAATGGGCTATATAACGGCCTGTGGCAGTCCCCACTTTATCTCCTCCTTGAAGGTACATGTAGCCCCTACCTTGTCAATATTCCAAAAGGAATAGGTGAGCTGAGGTGAGCCTCAGCCTCTTGGAATCCTGAGACATGGCGTTCTCAGGGGTGGGCTTCAACATTTTTAGCAAAGGGTTCTCTGCCCGGTTGACCATGGTAGGCGTGGCCTAGTTGGCTTCCTGCTCCACAGCGGGAGGGGTGTTGTTGCCCTCCCTGGGCTCTGGAGGCTTTCCTTGAGCCTCCGGGAGGGCAAAAACCTCCCTCGGCTCTGGAGACTCTCTGGAAGCTGGAAACGGGCCCATTTCCGGCCTACCCAAACTTCCGGGAGGCCTGTTTTTCGCCCTCTCTGGGCCTCCATGCAGGCCTGCACTTACCTACATCCAAAATGGGCCGCGTACGGATTCCTGGGAGGGGCGGGATGGAGTGGACGGGGCCAGCCAGAAGTGGGATTTGGGGGTTCTCCAATCTGCACAGAATCTTAACTAGGGGCTCTCCCGAACCCCTATGAACCCGCAGCAGCACACCCTTGGGCGTTCTTCATCTATGTTGTACTTTGGGGTTCTTTGACTATGCATTTTATTTGGGGCACTGTTACATTCTGCCTGGATTCCACTGGGATTAGAATATAAACATCCTAAATAAGTAAATAGATTAGCCTTTGATTGCTTTCCAAAAAAAAGAACATTTTTCTTATCTATCAAACTTCCAGAATTCCTGTCACCAAATCCATCATCAATCTGGCTCAGTAAAAAAATATTAGTATGAAAGGCGTGACGTTTGGTTTCATCAAATATTATGCTACTCACAGCGTTAAAAACAGTTATATAAAATTATTGTTTAACCTTTCTCTCGTTTATTTACAAAACTCTCCAGGGCTATCTTTTAGTTTCTTAAAAATGTAGAATAGATTATCATTTCTTTTCTTCTTCTAGACATCTTAATGCCACCCATCAAGCAGAAGGCTCGCTTTAAAATTAAGGATGCCAAGTGTCACTTCAGGCCTCGGAACAAGGAGAAGATTAAGGAAGTTGGAAAGCAGCAAACTCTTCTAGGTACAAGGGTTTTTTCTGAATCATTGAAAAAAAAACACCTAGTGAAACACTATATTTTTTTCTCAGTTCAGTGTAAATTAACTTTTGGGGTTTTGCTTAATTCTGTTTTGCAAGTTGTGGGAACTGCCCTAATTGTTTTCTTTTAATTTCATTGGTAGTGATACAGTAATAGGAATAAATTACAGGTAGTCCTCAATTTACAACTTTCGTTTAGCTACCGTTCCACGTTTTAACAGCATTGAGAAAAGTGACTTAATGAGTGGTCCTGTCAACTATCCTTTTGGCCCATGCAGCAAAAGAAACTCATTGTTCTTTCCAAGAGTATAGCTTTACTGACAATTCCACAGAAGAATTGTACAGAAGAAGCAAAGCCAGTTCTGAGGTTTTCGCACAAAAAGCAGTTTAGGTAAAGTCTGCTTTTTCCCCTGGGCCACAGTGGTGGGATTAAATTTTTTTTTACTACCGGTTCTGTAGGTGTGGCTTGGTGGCTGTGGCAAGGGAAGGATACTGCAAAATCTCCATTCCCTCCCCACCCCACTAACCTGCTTTCCAGCTCCGTTCTCCTGCGCAGGGCAACAAAAGAAGACCCAGCCGGTCAGCTGGGACTTGGGAGGCAGAAAACAGGGCCAGTCAGGGGTAGTATTTGCCGGTTCTCTGAACTATTCAAAATTTCCGCTACCGGTTCTCCAGAACTGGTCAGAACCTGCTGAATACCACCTCTGATTGTCCACCAATCATATACAATCAATTTGTTTTGGGACAATGTGTAATGCTACTACTACACAGCTTAATTTTTTCCGTGTTGTTTCTGTTGTGCAAAGTAGGTCAGTTCCCCTGTGCAGACAATTGCCACATAACTTTTGTAAATCTCAAATGTGATTCCTCTAAGAAAAAACGCCGTGGGCGAAAATCTCCATCAAAAGAAGTATCCCATATCACGGCTGAATTTGAAATGGAGATGAAGTCTGAAGAAGTTTCAGGTTAGTGAAATATGTTTGTGTTATTTCTTTAAGCCAGTATTGATGATTAGAACTAATACCACCTTCATGTATTTATAAAGACTTATTTCTGTTGCAATGCACAGTCCAAACATTCTTCAGCATCCATATCATTCAGTGGATTCAAAAAAATTTACTACTGGTTTTGTGGGCGTGGCTTGGTGGGAGTGGTAGGGGAAGGATACTGTAAAATCTCCATTCCCACCCCACTCCTGGGGGAAGGTTACTGCAAAATCCCTATTCCTTATCCATCCCACTGACCTGCTTTCTAGCTCCGTTCTCCTGTGCAGGGCAACAAAAGAAGACCCAGCCAATCAGCTGGGACTTGGGAGGCAGAAAATAGTTGGGGGCGGGGCCAGTCAGAGGTGGTATTTGCCGGTTCTACTCAAAATTTCTGCTACCGGTTCTCCAGAACCGGTCAGAACCTGCTGAATACCCACCTCTGGTATCATTAGATATTGATTACTCAGCATAATTTATATATATAAATATATATATATATATATATA